ATAGCACAGCACTTAAAAAATTATCCCCATTTAACTCCACCTTTGCCACCTCATAGGGTGTGCGATAGACTTACCTCCACGTGGTGCACCCTGGGCAACGTATATTCATACGGCAAAAAAGTCTATTAACTGGCAATTGACTTCCCACTTCAAACTACCACCACCTCACTCTATGCCATATTCGACTATTTTCACAGTACTCTTCTTACCTTTGAAACACTCTTCTGTCCCCAGCCCCCTCTCAACTTTTTCCAATTTGATGTTCCTCTCCCTCTGTGAAGCCTGAAGCCAACTAAAGGGCTAATGATAACCATCAAGACGCCTGCCATTTGATATAAATAAATAAATAAAGTTCAGCTCATTGGATCAGTTGTTGTTCATGCAACGTTTTTGGAACCCCCGGTGACCATAGGGAGCCTGCTAACACCAAGATTTTCAGTGAGAGTTGAAAATGCTCATTCGTGTGCGATTGCTACTCCATTGGCAATTTCGTCAATGGTAATTCGTCCACCTTGCTCCGCCGTATTCTCTACAAGAGAGCTGTTTTCTTGATTTCTTTCTGTGGTTGTTCTCTCACCTTGTGGGTCGTCACCAAGTTGCACTTTGCCCTCTTTAAAGATCACAATCCAATTGTAAATGACTGCGCAGAGTCTCCATAATCCTGTTGTAAGCCTTTTATGATCCAAACAGGTTTCCAATTTTGTTTAATTACAAATTTCATGTTAGCTCTGATCTCAAAATTTACTCTATTTATTGGGTTAACGATTGCCTTGATTCTGGCCTTACATGGAATAATTCAACCGTTGCATGTTATTTAGGGAGCTCTGAAGACATGTTTAAACGTGTAAATCTGTGTTCTATTTAAAGTTAAAGCATTTGTCTGAGGACTAATTGACCCACCCTAGTATGATTAATTTAAGAAGGAAGACGTGTTCGTTAACAAGAAATTATAAAACCTAAAAGAAAACCAGAGAATGGCGAATCAAACCTTCAGCAGTTTCATACAATATTTTTCCTCAGCCTATACCAGTGAAAGAAGGATGATGGCAGTTAAAAAAATTAATGAAAAATTCCGTGATTTTTGGACGCGTTAAAATAATTAAGTAGTTAGTTTAGCCATTAGGGAACAAATCGCAATAAACAAAATACACCCTAATGAATGAATTAATGCCCTCATGTTTCATTACCATAGCAATGTGAGTCTGTAACAGAGCACATAAATGAACCTTAATAGGCCTCTCTGCCAAAAGCCTCTCCCGAAATTAGCTAAGCTGAGTCAACAGGATTGAGAAGACAGGACCTAAATTGAATAGCGCCCTATAAAGGATAATGCAACTGCCACAGAGATGTCTTTACAACTACAATTAATGCTATTGATTACTGATTGGCAGAGAGGTCTCACCACTCACGACTACACTTGCTCGTTATGAGATCAGTAGCACGGATCACCATGAAGACGATTCGAATGCTCAAAAGACTGCTTTGGCCAGCCTTGGTAAGACTGAACGAACTATGAATCCTAATACTCCAACTGAACATAACAATCTCAAATATCTCATCGACGAAGTGGAACAAATTATTATTCGAGCGAAAAACCCCAAATAAACGCCATTTATCATCAAAAACAAGTCTTTACATCCTACTTTAAAATTCCGACCAATGAATATAGAGCCATCTGGTTCCTATCTTTAATGTAAAGTGAATGTGATCTTTTGGATGAAATGGGCTCCAAAAATTTTCACTTAAAAGGATCAAAGATGAGAAGATCACAAGGCGCATTCAAGCTGGCATTGCACATATACGGGCAAATTAATCAGTGATGAGAACAAAATCTTACCGACTTCACCTTAGTACCAGGTGGGACACAACGGTTCCTGCAACGATTATAATTGGAAAAAATTGGCACAATAAAGCGCAAAACAGGAAGCGGGTGTAAATAGACAGACAAAAATAAGTTGAAAATGCCAATAAGCCGATACAATGTTTTCAACGGAAATCAGATGTAGAACACTGTTCCCGAAATGAGGTGAAATGAGGGATTCAGGTAAAAAAGGACACAGTTAACCAAACAATTAGCGGTTTATAATTAAAAACTGACTTAAGGTGATTATTTATGGTTCTCAAATAGAGAAAATCGAATTCTAAAAGGATCAAATAACTATATCGTCCTCTAAATTGGCACGTACACACCAGAACGCATCTCTTAAAGACCCGGTTCAATTGAAAGAACATTCGATAAGAGTCCGGAGTAATAAGTGCTTCGGCTATTATGCCTTCCACTAAATAGTAGGAAACATAATGAAGGGGTAACATGAAATAAACCTCGATAAATAATGCCGTCAAGTTACTGAAGACATTGCAACCCAAAGTCGAAAAGGAAAGAAAATATGAAACAGATTAATGACTAATTTATGGGTCGACTTTTGACAAAATTAAAATTGGACAACAGCAAACATCTCTCACATCAAAAATGAAGAGGCTATTGATTTACTCAGAGCGAGAGAGAGGTTCAATTAAACTCACTCATGAATTACTGAAGCACAAGACCCTGTGGGAAAGAATGCAGAAATAAGAACTGCGTGTGGGATTGAAAACGATATACCCCTTAAAGATTGGTATTCGTTACAGTGAAATATGGGAAATTGTGTAGAAAGCAACTTAATTCTTCATAGCCGGAAAGGGAGGATCGAAGGCACGAGAAATGTACACTAATTTAACTGCTCGAAGCTATTGATTCCCCTTGTGCTGGTTAACATTCCCGTTCACAAAGACTACGGATTCGGTAGACATTTAGTGAGAGGAAAGTAATAAATCGCACAGATTGAGTTAGGCTAATAAATTAGGTGGCAGAAATAGAGATTCACACCAGAGATGTTCTACGACACAACAACTCCACTTAAGGCGAATGTTGGAAAACGTTTTCCAAACCGGAGATGGAAGTTAATTCACTCCACTTGTTAAGCTGAGTTGAGTTGACTTATACTAGTTGCAAATCCCTACTGATTTCAACTTACAGGTCTGTTACCCAAAAGATTTACCATCTCCTAATGCAAAACCCTACTCCGATGGCAAAGCAATAACCGTTAAACGAATAGAGTAGGCACGAAAACCGCCAAGGCACGAAGTCGCGGAGACAAAGAGGAAAGAATCACGAGAAGAGATAATTCAAAATCTCTAAATTCTACCTGTCCTTCTATTAGGAAAAGCAACGTCGAGAGGTATACAAACTCCATCCGAACCGTATCTTTAACAAAATAAATAAATAATAAAATTATCTTCGATAGAGAAAGCCAATTTCGTTTGATAGCTATTCATTATTTGAAACAATTCATAATACACTTCAAAATAGAAAATATCCCACTCTATACATCACCGAAGGATAGAATATTAACAGCAATTAACAGAAAATAGCCTAATTGATGTTATTAAAAAGGTAACAAATTATGAGATTAATTTTAATTGCTAATGAGACTTGTGCGTAAATTGAGAGAATAAGGAATCAGAACCTAAACTTTCAACTCGATAGGTTGATGAAACTTTATAGTTGTGCACTAATATGATCAAATACAAAGAGCTATTAAACGTTTTCTCAAGAACAAACTCTGAAAGCCAGTGTATTTCAAAATAACATGTTGGTTTTCATATAATATTGAAAATAATACCTGAAAGTGGTTGGTAGATAGTGTAATTCCTTCCATTCGCCAGAAACTGCAATGCCAATTATGAAGAGGAGGAAAGAGTTTAAATTATTATAGAAAGTGAGACGCCAAACACTTCCATCCACAAGTGCTAGTCCTTTTGAGGTGAGAATGGAGAAAAGCGAAACAGCCAAACTTGCAGAGAGACCATAGAACAAACCAGACAGCGACAGGGTACCTACATATTAAGACAAGACGATTTCAGCTCAGAGAAAAAAACATTTTTGAGAATAAATATTGTAATAGAAACCAACCTAGCCCATTCTCTTGAATAACACTGACCATATAACCTGCGATAATTATAGCACAGCATATTATAGCCTTCAATGAGGTTGTTTTGCGCAAAATCAGGTAGGTAAGAATCTAAACGAAATTGAACAAAGAAAGTATTGACACTGGAAAAGCCACGAAAATAAGTAGAGACATACCACATTGAAAACCGTTGTAAGTGATCGAGCGACAAAGTAAAATGCTACATCAAGGTACTTAAGACAGAGGTTATTAAAAAATATCATCAGAAAGAAGACACAACTAAGAGGCATAACCTAGAAGGAGAGATATTATTTCAAAGAAAATGAATGTGTTACAGTCAGAGAAGTTTTCCACGAAAAGTCCAAATTTGGGAAAGAAAATTTATCGGGTATGGTACTAGAGATTTTTGCTAAAATTACACATAGCAGAACTGTGATAAAGCATTGGAACCAAGTGACGAACATTGGTGCATCGAGCTAAAGAAGCAAATTGTATCACAAGGGGAATATCAAATCACCAATGTATCGGAATTGCTGAGCAGCCATTTGTTTATAAAAACAAGGGAAATGGAGACAACCCAATACAGGGACACGACTCCAAAAATTAGACGGATGTTATACTCTGATTTTGCTTCTGCCTAAATAAAAAATTAGCAAATACAAAAATAAAATATATACATAATTAAAAGAAGCTAAAAATGGCATAAAAAAGAGTTTATTGACTGTCCATTTTTGCAATACAAATCTGTTTGATGAATTCCCCACGGATTGTAATTAAATATAGCTTTCTAGTGTTAATTTCGGCATTGTCTTCGTCCTTGGGTTGAAATTCTATTACATCCCGCATTGCAATGTTGCCACAATTATCTGTACACATTAATAATCCATCAAAAATTCGACCATCGACAATTTTAACAACCATCCTTTTCCCCATCAAGTTTAATAAGAAGGACGATTGAGGATTTTCTGAGACTGTGTTTGGAAGAGTTGGAGATGCACAGGCCATGTGTGAAGACACAGAATGTACAGACCTAACTAAGGCAAAGGAACACTTTCAGATGTGTGCGTTTACTTAATCTATATAAACAAAACTAATGTTGCTGATTTAAATAGATAGAAAAATTAACATATTATGTTTATGTTTAATTTTCCCCAATCAGAGATTATACATATTTAAAGGTCAAAATGTATTAATTTCATTTTCTTTTGAAAAATGATTACTCTCGTTAGTGTTAAATCACATGAAACAAATAGATATTTTATAAAATTCTGAATTTACAAAATGCTTGGTGAAATCGATTAAGCGTAAGAGCAGGTCGTTTAGAATTCAAATTTTGATCCTATCTTATGATATAAATCTGTTTTATCTTCATATCAAAGTGTTCAAAGAATTGATTTTAGAGCTTAGTGCAATATATTAAGGTAGAAAATAAAATAAAACATTAATTTTTTAATGATAAGTGGGAATATTGCCCAATGCAGAAAATATTATTTCATAACATGGTAAATTTTTTCTTGTTTTTTTCTATACTTAACACACCATTATCGATTTTTTACCGAAATCGTACTTTGTTCATTTAGAACTTCCATTTTTGCTTGATAAAATAATCATCTTTTTGGAAATTTTACAAATGAATTTCTTTTGCTATGACGATTGTCGAAGAAATGTATTTCTATGTTACTTTAATTAAGATGCAAATAAAATTTATCTAACGCCTGAAGATAATTCTATTTCCTAAACCATTATACATAAACTGCTGAAGACAAACAATTTCGAAGATTAAGAGTCAATTACGATAACCTAGCTTCAGGATCATCCCAACACAGGAAACCCAAATATTTGTGCAATAAATTTTGTATGGCTAGACACTTCTCACGGTAACATTGCTAATACGACACAAAGAAACATTTCTATGAAAATAAAATTAACTTAGAAATGATCTCCTTACTCAAGCCGTTTTAGTGGCATTCGACTAGATTGTAAACAAATTCAATATTTTTAAACATTTTTAATGACCCTGGACCAAACTAAAAACCACAAATTCAACGGAAAGGTCCGCAATGCTTTATTAATTATGTAAGGAGGCTGAACTAGTCAATGATCGAATCAATAGTTGTACCAGTAGACTTACAGCAGACAGCAAATGTCAATTAATACTTACTGCTAAAAATTAATCTACTATCGATAAGCTCTCGAATTCAATATGCACATGGGCTACACATTTGTCTGCATGTGGACTTGTTTCTACATAGATACCTTCTCTGACACTAATTATCGGGCATATATTGACGAAGAGACAAGATTGATACGAAAAAACATAATTTATTTTCGATAAATTGAGGAGGCTTTAAGATAAATAGCATATTAACATACCTGCACGAGTAACTTGAACAATTCCACCTATTAGATCGATGTGATCCGTTTCCCATAGCTATCATATAGATATCCTTATTATTCCTTCAATATAGTGGCGCTGTTTCGATTTTTCGGGGACAAAATACTTAGCAAAACACCAGAGTACATACCTTTAGAGCTGCCACGTATTTTAACTCTCAACTTGTAAAGATCACTCACCTTAACGGCTTAACAACTTAGCTAAAATACCATCCTGTTTTTGCACAATTTATCCTAAGTACTGAAAAATTAAGAAACATATTTATTACTCATTTAGAAAAATTACATTTGTTTGTACCACTATAGATTTTATTGTTTTAAATTCCAGTGCTTTTCGTAGACTATAGTTCCTATTCGAAACATAAAGAGTGAAATTGCAAATCGTTACGAATTTAATGGTGCATTCAATGGTTTTTGGGTTAACTAAGAACCAACAGGGAGCTTAGCAAGTGTCAAAGTGAATGTGTTTACCTTAAACTCTATATTAGATTATACACTTTAATTATTTCGCAACATTGTTTTAAATTAATGATATTTGTGATTCAATAGTGTTAATTTTCAATTTAAAATGAAATTAAACCAACCAAGCTAATTGGACTGGTAAAAAGTAATCAATGTATCGATGATACTTACACCACTTCATATATATTGTTACTGAAATTTTCAAAATAGGCTATTAACGTGGTAATAAAATTACTTTATTGGATTGGTATTTCCCAACAAGCTAATCAGAATAGCGCTTTTGATGCCTTATATGAGAATATACACATTTCAAAAAGAAGGAAAATTTCACCGACCGATCTTTCTTCAAGATAAATTCATCATATAAACTAATAAAAAATGTACCCCTTCACTATATTCCTAATGCCTTACTTCCTTTCTTTAAACCAGTTTGGATGCATAATTATTAAATGCTTGCCTTTCCATCAATTGATGCTATGGTTTGGCAAATATCAAATGTAATACAGAAAATATTAAACATTTGTTATAGTTGACTGTATTCATATCTATTTCTTATTCTCATAAAAAATGTTGAATTAAATCCATAAGTAGGCAAATGTTAACATTTTTATTGTAGACATTTCTTGCCTGGTTTAATTAATTAATTTGATTTATTTGAAATAAATACATGAAGTAATTTGTCACATAATTAAGTTGATCATTATGCATCTCACAAAAAACGTTAAAAACGCCATTCACTTGACAAATAAGTGCTAAAGTAATGTTTTTGATGCTTATTTTGTGTTCAAATATGTGCTCCGAAAGCAAAGTGTATGTCATGTTATTCATAGTTGTTCATAATTATTCTTAATATTTAATAAAGTTAATTTTTAGAAAATACACAATATAGCACATAAAAATGTTTCATGCAATTCGCAAAGTTCTTTAAACTACTGCAGTGGCGCGAAACTCACTTCTCTTTGGTGCGTGTTGGTTTCGGTGCTTGAAGATGCAATTGCTGTTAAAGCGCTTTGACGGGTCTACTCTAGCCCTCAACTGTGATGCCAATAATACTGTTTATGATGTCAAGCGTCAGATTGAGTCTCGGGAAGGAATTCCGTGCTCTCTTCAGTCGCTCTCTTACGGGGGATCATTCCTTAATAACGAAGACTCTTTGGAGGATATTTGCTCTTCAAGTCTTGCCCACTTTGACTTAAATGTCGATCTCCTTGGTGGTGCCAAGAAGCGAAAAAAGAAGGTTTATACTACACCTAAGAAGAACAAGAAGAAGCCAAAGAAGGTTAAGCTCTCTACCCTAAAGTTCTACGGGGTATGATATTCTTTTTCACTTAATGAAATGTCTTAAGGTTGACGCCACTGGCAAGATTACCCGTCTAAGGAGAGAATGTCCTAACAAAGAGTGCGGTGCCGGTTCCTTCATGGCTAGTCACCATGATAGAGAGTACTGTGGAAAGTGTCATCTGACCTATAGACGTTAGCAATGTTATTAATAAATTAAAGCGGTTTATTATTTAACCTTTTCATTGATTTTTATTTGGCGTTTAACTGTGGATTACGTTTCTGATTTTATGCATATATAATGGTGACGTATTTTTTGTGTTGAATTTAACTTAATGCCACTCCCTTATGTCATGCTTAAGATAATATTTTAAGTTCTAGTGATTATTAATATATCTCCATTATGTTTTGAATTTTTCTCTTTGGTAGTCGCTTTCATTTGTGCAGTTCTAGTTCCTCTCAATAATTTTTAGGGGTCTGTTCACATGAAAGTTAAATGCTATGGCATAAAGTTGATGAAAATCATGTTTTTGATTATCAAGTTTGGAATAAACGACTTATTTACTTTGTTCGTAATGCTATTCATTGATTTTGAATGTTCGAGGTTTCAATTTTGGACAGCCTTTTTCATATGTATAATTGAACTCTCATTGCTGGAACCAGTGGTGGTGTGCTGATGAGGTTCGAATTAACTTTCATTTTCCTCCTAGTCGGTGCCCTGTGATCGTTTGTGTCCCTCCGAAGGTTCAGATTTGACGATCGGCTAATGTTTTAGCTTTCATTGGTTGAATTTTCGCTTGGTCGCGCTTGTCCTAATTTTTGGTATTGCACACTCGTTTAGGACGTCTTTCAGTATAGAGTTGGATACTTAAACCTCGTGGTTGCTAACGCTATTTGGTGCATTTCATTATCCGGTCTTTTTGAGTAGTATAATTTACTTTACGGGTGAGTTGACAGGAGATTCCAAAGTACATGTAATTCGTGTCTGTGGAATGACACCAACTGTGGTGAAAGTAGCTTATTTCAGCAAGGGAGTGTCTAGGGGGAACGCTGAATATATGTGTTTGTAACCTTTTTGGATTAAAGGTTTTTTGCGCCATTTGCAGCTTTATTAAATTATTAGCTGTAATTAGTCTACCCACTGTGGATCCACGCTGCTGTGGAGCACAGTTAACTGGCTTGCGAGGGAGATTCATGCACACTTGAAATGTAGCATCTGATGTCATTGTTACAAAATCTTCAAGGCTGTGTTCCAGCAAATTTGAGTGATTTTAACTATTACCATGAAAATTAGAGCTAGAATTCTCCGGAAAACGTGAATTTTACCGATTCGTTTGACCGGCCAGCATTGTTTTGGGACTTGATCTAGCTTTCCGTCGATTGACATCCAATAAGAAACGAATACGACAGCCTGAACTTTTTTGATGGTTCGTGAGTTTTCAGTTCAAAAGACGGATTGGACAGAATTTTATTCGAGTATCATAAAACCATAAGTGTAAAAAACAGTTTGTTACTAAAATCAATTAAGTAGCAATGCACTTTTGTCATCCGTAATTCGCTTCAATATTGTCTGTTTCACAGAGCTGTAGCATGTGATGTTGAAGCCTGCTCTGATTGGCAGCAGCGTTGAGGTGACTGTTGCCGGGAGGATGAAACATGGTTTCGGATGGCCCAAAGCTGCTGTCATCTCCTTTTGCCCACTCCTGTTCTTGGCTTGAGGCAAAAATGAGGAAGAAAATTGCCGCGAAGAATTGACTTCCGGCTGCTAAGCTCATTGCAACAATCCAACCTGCTCCTACACCCGTACTTAAATAGTGTACTACCACTGTCGCTATCACTGTTGATAAAATACCTAGGTGACAGAAATAAGCGTATTAGAGTAGGAAAGAATGCCTTTGAGTACTGGAGATAATTCGGGATTGATCTCCCAATAGGTAGGATGCGTTTTAGCAGAGGTATAATTAAGTGAACCGCAGTATAATGTGCAACGCTAGGAAGATTGTTGGTACTGTCACCTATTGGCTTTGGATTATAAGTTAAAAAGAATTACTCAGGTTGTATATTAATTACGGGGTGCGCGATAGATTTACCTCCACGTGGAGCACCCTGGGCAACGTATACTCATACGGCAAAAAGGTCTATTAACTGGCAAGTGATTTCTCACTTCGAACTACCATGACTCCACTGAATGTCATATTTGACCCCTTCCACAGTAATCACCTCATCTTTCATCTACCTTTGTGTCTGTCTGTCTCTTTTACATCCGTGAATCACTCTTCTGTTCCCCCTCTCGAATTAGTCACACTTTGATGTTCCTTCCCCTCTGTGAAGCCCGAAATCAGCTAAAGGCTAATGATAACTATCAAAACGCCTACCATTTGATATAAATAAATGTATATTCATTACATGATTAAATAAACTTGTCAACGGGATCTAATAATCGTGAATGTAATCTGACGCATGATCGCTTTATAAAAGTATGGCTCATTATTTATACAAGACATTTCCCATCTCGCACTTAATGAATGGTCTCGATCTATTATTGGGAGCTGGTATCAAATGTGTTAGATGAGTGATGTGATGAAGTACTTTTATAGAAGTAACTTAAGGAAGAGAAAATTAGATTTCGTGACCTTGGATTTGTGGAATACACCATACAGCCAAGAATGACAAATGAAGTCATTCCAGAGTCACTTCCGGAAAGTGCGAGCGTGTTTTCGGGGCTTTGTTGACTAATCGGCGTTTGATATTCATCCAAAGTTGAGCTAACTAAATCCGTTTATTTAGTATGCTTTGAAGTTGAACATGACTGTGATAACGCTATTTACGTCATAAGTTCTGTTTCCCTCAAGACCGTTAAGGTAGCTGAGTCTTATTTCCGGAATGGCTTTATACTAGGGATTTTGGCAAACAAGAATGATGTGGTCTTGTCATGTTCTTTTTGTGTGAAGTGTCCGATATAGAGTTAAGCTCTCATATGAGTTTCAAGGGCTTACAGATTTATAAAACTGAAGCATATACGAAACATGTTGGTGCTTAAATGGAGGAACATTGAGAATATCTCCCAAATCTCTGGAAAATGATCCCCCCTCCCAACAATAAAGTCCTTCAGACGTGTAAATAGGGACAAATTTGCTATGAATAAACATTGAACAACAAACTCAGATGGTCACAAAGATTAACTAGAAGCTGTCTCGAAAAAAGTCGAGAAACCGGAGATTTTACAATGAAATCTCCAGTTGCCCAACGATCTGTAAGTGCGCACTTGTGGTTAATTCGAATATGAAATAATACTTCAATTTTTTTAAAAATAGGGAATAATTTTACGATCAACATTTATTTTAACTCTTCTTACTTCGCATTATTATTATTATTGAAGGATTGGCTTGAGCCATATTCGTTTAGGCCTTTTACTGCGGCTCATTTGCGTTTATTACATTATCCGTTCTGAGGTTCAACTTTATCAGATATTTTGAGTTCGCTCTGTTCCAAGTTGAGGATTTTCTCATGATTAAGGATTCGACTGTTAACAGCACGTCTGGCGCGGCCCAATGCCCATCACAAAGCCAAAATAAGGAATAATGATGGAGTGGGTTAAGTTTGATAGGCTGAATAATGTGCTTTATTTCCTTGTGGTCTGTCCACCAAAGGATGTTAACCAGGGCGGGGGGGGGGGGTAATGAAAATGGAGTAATTCAAGGATACCTTAGCCCCTAACCGAGAAAAATGATATATTATTGGTTGCGTGGGTGGGGGAGGGGTGAAGGAGGGGGCTGATATTCTTACGACCTCTACAGAAAACGGACTGCTGGAGGAATGGTGAGAATTATTCTATTACCTGATCTATAAATTGAAAAAAATAAGAATTTTCTGTCAATTGACTAGATGGCAATGAGTTCACTGTTTAGTTAGAGGTCTTGCGTGATTAATCAACACACCATCTACCGTACCGTTGAGTGTATCGATACAGCCTATCGTCTTTCTACTGATTATGTCTCAGGTAATCGAATAGAATAATATATTCAAGCGTGTACTGTAACACTTTGGCAATCCCCTCTACAATCAACAGTCATTTGCATAAAAGAAGAAACGCCAACCGCCAATAAAGGGAAAGAAATTACAAATATAAATTTGAGATCAAATACCAAAGTGTGAATATATACAGATGGTGATTAGTGTTGCAGTGGGAAAACCTATTCTTTTCTTTGCGGTAAAATAGGAGAAGAGCAATGCGGCTTAGGGCTTTAGCAAATCGGTTTCTAGGGCTATTTAATGTAATTTAACATTATTAAAACAATACTTACGACTCAGAGTGAAGATAAGGAGTAAGCCGACTCATTGTTTATCCAAATTCCTGTAGTAAGCACGTGATGGCACACATTGTCTGCGACTTATCTCTGTGAGAGCGTGGCACATGAACTCAGCTAATCCCGTTAATTTCCTATTTTCCTTGGTTCATTATGAGAAAACGCCAGTTCTTCCATTTATAACCCACCCTTCCCACGACCTTTTCTCGTTCTCTCACTCCTCTAGATCAAGCCTTCGTCTTCAGCTCTCGCACCTCTGATTTTGTGAAAGGCTGTTATTATCTTGCTGGCCCATACACTTAGCTTATTTTAAAGGGTTATCCTTAAACCGAACTAAGTCGGGGTTTTAAAGTGGTTTCACTGTTCTTAATAATGCTACACGAATACCATGAGAACTTGAATTATATACAAATAACCTGACTGGCTGACATAATGAAAGGTGGGGAGGAATATTGTCACATGAATAAAGAACTCGATGAATGAGTAATTACTATAAACCATAAAATCATAAAGTGGTTAAAATTGATAAATAGGTTTAAGAAGTGGTTATTGGAAGAAGCGGAGCTGGGGTAATACTCACTTCGTAGATGGGTTTCAAACAAAAAGTCTGACGCATTGTGCTGTCTCTAACATCAGAGTAATATTTGTTTTAAAATACTCAATAGTCTCTTTCTAAAGGAATACATAATCAGACCTCCAGAGGAAGGAAAAGGAAGACTTTAGCCCTAGTAACGGCTTCGCCTATCGGGAAAATAAGTTTACTAATTTTCATAGTTGATTGGTGGCCTGGACCGCTAATAATTAAAATTCTGTCATTGCATGTTCAGGTTTGATAGTAAATTTGGAGAATCGATAAAACAGTATGCGAGAGTTGAAGCCTCCCAAAGCAGAATATTGCACTCAAACTAAGAAAAATAAATGAGATGGCCTAAAGGAATTGTGCTACCGGCGAAAAAGTATTTATTTTGAAGTTAATTAATGCATAAACTTAGTCTTTGCAGAAAATTAGACAATATAACTTAATCAATTACATGGGGTGTTTCAAATTATGTTCATTTGTAACCTACCCATTCTCGGACTGAAGTAGATTAGGCTACACTAAAGTAGATCGGGATTAATTGATAAAAATGCTATTTTTCCTACCAATTTTTGAATAAATAGATAATCACAAGAAAATTAACAAGTTGTAAGATAATTATATAGGTTATAATTAACGTTTTTCCTTTGAGCAAAAAATATTCATATTTTTAACTTAACGACAAACAGATGAGAACATCTGTTATAAATTAATGATAATCCGATTAAACTAGCTTATTTCCATTTAAAGCATTTATAATCATAAAATTTAGATTATCAAAATAGAAGTGAACATTTCTGATTTCTTGGTAGGCTAGCGATTACTGAATTTTTTTCTTGATCATATAAAATCAGGAACGCATTTGACGAGTTGTGAGTGATTTACAGTCAGATTCTATGTTTAGTCAATGAAAAATAGGACTTTTTTACGCGATTCTCATAAAAAATGGAAATTTACCTAAGCCATTGTTTGATTATGATTTACAAATTTTATTCGATGTTATAAATGAATAAATGTGAAAAATATCTCTACTTAATTGGTTTCCGGTTTTCAGCACGAAAACATGATTAGAATCGAGAGCTGAGTAATTGACTTTTTTCCTATTTTTTGCAGATTTTGAAATTGTCTTCACCAGCAAGTAACTTTGGCTCATAAGTTTTTCTGATTTTATAAAGCATTTCTCTGTAATTTCGTTCTTTCAGTCCCTTCACTGATAGAAATCTATTTGATATGAATTCAAATTGAAAACTTGATTTGCAGATTCCTTTAGCAGTTATTCAATGTCTCCTCGGCGTTAAATGAGGAAATTCTTCTTTCTTCAGTGAGACCAAGCTTATTGTGGCTTTTAATTATCTATGTTATCTATTATTGTGATTCGTTCATCGATTTTTACCACGTTTGTTGTCTGCTTCAGGTAGTTATATGCACGATTTTCTTTACCTCAGCAACTTATCTGCCACCTTCGTTATCTAAGAACTTCCAATCTTCTGAAACACCGAATCGATTTTCACTCTGTTTGCCTAAAATTTGGTCGTTTCCTCCCCGTCATTTTCCACTAACTATATTCTACACCTATTTTGCGTCATTGCTGTCATGGTATGATTGAGTTGGTGTAATTGGAAAAATACTTCCACAGTTTTCCTAATCCTACACTGAAATCTTCTAAAACCATGTCTTTTTTGCCAGTATATTACGTCATCTTAGAAATTACTTGATTAATATGAAATTGGGTGTATAATTGGGACACCATGCACGGAAACATACTTACCAGTAAGTGTGCTGATACTATTTGCAAATCCCATAATAAGTCCCGCGAATTTGGGGGCTAATTCGATTACACTTACTGCATACCCTGCCACAGCCAGACCCGACACACCTAAAGTTTAAAGAAAACGCAAGTAAGCAAGAAATGACCAGAAAGGAGTCTTGAAGACTTGGATCCAAAGTTGGCAAATTCAGAGATTTTGCATCCTCTCAAAGCATGCATACGATTTACCCCTAACTGGTAAAATCAATTAAAAATAATTTACCTATAGTCATTAACCTTTATAAAGGTCAGCTAATCGGGTAAATTACTAAGGCACACTAAAGCATGAATTTTAGTAAAAATCAGTAATTTGAGCTGAGAGGCAAATTGGTAAGTTGTTGACAAAATCGCCTCTGAAAATGGTAGCATAATTTCATTTGGAACATCGAACTTAACGGAGTTGTGATCCCCTTACGTACATGAGAGTACTTTTTGAGTGAATATCCTTATGCTATGCATAGGATGAACTGGAATTATATTACAGAGAAGTCAAAGAGGATTTATGCAATTTGTGGTAATCGAAATTCAATCTCGCTTTTGATGGTGACTTTGTGTTTACCACCTTTGTAGGGACAAAAGTATCTTTCTTACCCACCACAAAATAGCTCCCAGTCGATCCTAAAAAACTCACTTTCACTTCTCAAAGCATTCTGCATTCAGCTGGCACACTACCTGCACTAAATTACTAGGTGGATTTGAAGCGATTCGGACATTTCTGCTAAAATGAGCATTGTACTATGCATTGTCAGATCAAATAAATGCTAACCTCATTACATTAACATGTTCGTTTAGCCAAATTGATTTATTTAGGCAACGATTTTTGAAAAGGATAAAATGGGGAGAAAATCGACTCCCTCCTTTCATTAGTTGTGGAAGAAAAGTTGTGAGATTTCATAGTGAGCTTTGTTGAATTTGTGCCAACTGAACCAAATGAGCAAAAAAGGCTCAAAAACGAAATGATTCAGGATTGAAATTAATCAACAGACCAGTAAGGATGGAAAAAGTGAGAATGATCTCGAATAACCAATTTCGAGACAAACTCGAACCATTGCACTTTACGGATTGAACAGTAAAGCAACAAACTAGTCTATTCCAAATGGAATTCAATTTGACGATGAGGTGAGACTGTTGAAATTGAGTAGAAGAAAAAGACAACATATTCCAAGGCAATTATTGCGACTACAGTTTACCCACTTTTCTAATTGGTAACATAATTTTAAAACGCATATTGATTTGACAAATAAATAAGTTGAGTGTGAGATGGAAGAATGTCTTTTTCAACTTGGAGTTGGAATTCATTGCTTATGTTGTGCAATTCATCCTGATCTCAACACCTAATTTGATATCTGTACTCCAATGACTGTAGGAAGATAAACTGTGTACTCAAAACTAGGACCTGAATAAATTTTGATTCATCGTTCCTCCCACCTTCTGATTTTGGCTGCAAATCACACAGCTATTCAAGTCAAATGCGTTCATCTACATTTTGTCCACTTGCTCCAGACAACTTTAATGCAAATCGTGCAATTACTTTCATTGATTAACTTGGATGTACTTTATTACCATTACCGTCAATAACATTATTGTTGTTGTTATTAGACACAACAGTGCAAATTTCTTGCACGTTTCAGTAACGAAAGAGCATTTGAACATACGAAATGGTAAATTGAGTCATTAAAAGATGAAGTGTAATACGAAGTGGGTTTGTCAAGACAACTTCTTCCTCTAAATACCTGATGTACTGCTCCTAAGTTCTCAACCGTTTTCTAGAATCAAACCCACATTGGAAGAGGTTCATCAAGAAATGCAAACTATAGGTGAAAGCAGATTTTGAGGAAATCTTTTCCTCTTTTTACCGTTAAGGAAAATTTTGTTTTATTTACCTCAAGCAAGTTTCCCACATGTCTTTGAACTCAAAAGTTGGTCTCGAGTTAAACTTTTGCATTCGGTTTGAGAAGCAATCCTACTTTCTCTCACAACGATACTAATTCTACTGTTCTTCAAAGGCAAGAAAATTTTCAGTCAATCGCAAATAAACTCCGAAATAGAATTTTTCACACTCGAAATTAATTACATAAATCCTTTTGTCAGTTTGCTTCAAAGATGGTTTTGATTAGTTAAAATGTTTCGATTCAATACCACTAATCAGGTAGCTATTAAAATTAATAAATTGTCAATTTGCATTAATCGAATTTTTATAATTCCACTATTTACTCCCCTGTATCTAGATCATTGGATCAATTAACTGGAACAAACCTGAAGTGGGCAAAATAAAATTATCGAAAATGAATCTTTTTGTTTTTAATTAAGCCAAGGATCAACTATAATCTATAAAATCGATATTATTGGATTCAGTTATCTTAAAGAAAAATTAAAGACTGGTCCCTTAAAATTTACAATTCCAGTTGCGTCTCAGTGAGGTAAATATAAATTGCATTGGAATCTACTGCATTAGCAGTCTTTCAATTTAGATCTCCTAAAACGCAATATTTTGAATTTATTCTGTTCAAGAAACATTAATGATGAAATGGCAAAGACCAATATTCGATATTAAAATGGCCATTATTGCCTTTTGGCTTCAAGATTGTTACTTTCGCTGTGAATCCGCTCTCCAATGTGCGAAACAACGTTGGCTATTAACATTTTTTCCACCTCGCAAAGTTTGAAAATGAGTGTGTGTTTACATAAGTACCTTATATTCCCGGCCCAAACATTCGTGATTATGAAATTAGATTCGCTTTTTTTTGAATAAATCTGCATTTTCTCAAGAATATAACTGAAAACTTGTCCCTTTCTAAAGTACATCGCAAATTGAACCGTAATCAATAAATTACCTGGATATTTGAGTAAATTTTCTCCAAATTAAACTTGACATCTCTAGGGATAGGAACAAATCGTTTCAATTAACTTTGAATGAAATAGCATCATGAAAAGACGATTTTACTAAGTATGGTTTTTTGGTTCACACATCTCAAGAAAATAAAATTAAAAGAACATATATATTTAAAATTAACTTAAAATTCTTTTTCCACATAGACACCATAAATTATGGGCTTCTCAATCAAGCTCTAAGTTTTTCAAATGGCAGGCTTTATGATATTTATCACTAGCCCTTAAACTTTGAGTTCAGCTTCCCTTTCACCCATGGGTGGAAGGGGGGGGGGTACATATATAGCAGTTAATTAATAGCAGTTCATTAGCTGTCTTCTTGCTTCCTAGTATCTCTGGCTTTCCGTCGTTGCCTTTAGGGCTGGTCACCGAATCAGGTGGGTCTTCTCCATTTCCTCTTGTAGGTTACATAGGGGCATGTGGGTTGAGTGTATACTCCCAATCTATGAAGGTGTTTTGCTCGAGTTAAAATTTGAAATTATAAATATATAAGTCACTAAATCAAAATTAATATTTTTTCCCCTTATCACCACAGCGAGAACTTGAGGATGTGTGGTTTCATCAATTTTTTGTCATGGCAAGGTTTTTACTTTTTACTTTATTTCTGGGAATTTGTTTGCCAACAAGTTTTCCTCCTGAATACCTCTAATGAAATGTTACATTCGCTAAATATCGAGACAAGACGTTCTAATGTCTGGTTGTTAAAAATTAGTCGCAGAATGACATACCTCCGTATAGCGTTCGTAATATGTAGTTTTTTAGAGTGAGGAACAAATACTATTCTTTTTATCTTGTTTGAAATAGTTAGCAACTTTATTTCTTAATCTATTTGGAATGACTGTGATTGCCAACCTTAATTAAACACGTTTTAGTGATGGCTCTAACAAAATTATCAAAAAGTTATAGGATCGAAATGAGGCCAATAGGAAGAATCTGAAATAACTCCCTATTGATACGAACAACTGATATTAAAAATGGATGAAAGCAATAGTAGATGGTGAAATAAACGACATTGATTAATGATGCCAAAATATTGATTATAATATTGAATGAACGCGTTATTTTAGGGTAAAAACATGGAGCTACTAAATTTTTAACTACCCAAATTTTCTAAGCAAAAACATTTGTAAGAGAACAAGGAATGTATAATAAAACTTTAAACATGTACTTCATTGATTTGCACTGATAAGAAAATTGTGCTGGTAGACGGAGATCAACAGGCGAATTTAATACTCACTTTCTGGGACAGATGCTTGAACAGCTGAAAAAAAGCTAGCATTAGACACAAATGGAACAATTTTAGACTATTCAAATCACGTCTTAAATTGAGCAGCATTGGGGCATTTTGGTTTCTTGGTAAGATCACAGCTAAACTGTTGAATTGAAATTGCTTGTAGAAAACATCTTTATTTCGCTCAAGAAAAGTTTTAGAAGGTACTAATGATGATCCATTCTCAGGAAACAATATGTATTTATTCATAGATAATAATTATAAAATATTAGTTTTTTTGAATAAGCGGATATGACATATTTATTAAAAAAGGTACAGAATCTTTATTAGTTCAATATGACAACAAACAAATTTGGCTAAACAACTCGATGCAAGGTACAATTAAATAGTTGGGAGAAATGGTGTCTTTCAAAGTAATTTATAATCTTCTATAGCCAGTCAATGCTGAAAAAACCAACCTATGAATGTAATTTCAGGTAAGTTTTGAATGGTATAGCTAAAAACACTCAAGAATTTTAGGTTGATAGTATTTATTTAGACCATCTTATCAAACGAAAAATATGGTCGTTTCTATGGCCGTATTACAAATATGATCAGAAAATATAGACAAAATAGCTTTAAACAATGCTATTATCAAATTACACGAAAGATGCAATATCCGAATATCTTTCTTGAAAGCTAAGAATGTCAAGGCAACCTCAGTTACCATTTATGCCTCTTTGTCCTCAATACCTTCAGGGTACTTGAGAAATTCTTTTCTATTAGAGAAAAAAGCCTCCAGACCAATGGCACTGACTGTGTGATTTCAACGAGCGAAGAATTGAACTCTCTCTTATAGTTTATTTGTCACGAATTTTGCAAATCATCTTTAAATTGATTTTTGCCAGAAGAAAGCAAGAACAGAAATTTCTCGACCTTAAAGGATGTATGGTGGTTGCATCATTTCAAATATGCTCTAGACGAGCGTTCAATCAGCATTGGCGAAAATTCGCCACTTAGAACGGACCCTATGCATTTGTATCCTCTTTTTCCATTACATAGCTGTTTGTAATAAAATAGCCTTCACATTTTGGTTTGCAAAAAAAAACTAATTTTCCGATCAATGCCTACTTTTCCATTTCTTAATAAAATCAGTGACCTTGATAGTTGAGTCATTTAAGGCATGTAATATAATGAAAACTCAATTATTATTATTGCCAGATTCTACTCTGGCACTCTCAGAAGTAAAGATAAGGAAATAGACATTGCAGACTTATAAATATTTATTATTTAAAATGCACTTATTTTCATGAGAGTTATCCTCAGATGTCAGCATTACTCCCAGTAGCCGTGCCATAAATAATTTACACATACGCGTTGTTAAGAATTCAATTTAGCAGTTAAAAGGTACTGCAGTTTCTGCTTTGCATCCTATAACTTGACAATTAAGCGCCAATCTATCAACTCACCTCTAACTAATTAAAATCACTCTCACAACATTTCAAAATATTTAACAAAGAGTGTCACTGTCCAACCATTGGTGAGTGAACGGGCAAC